TCTCCCAATTACCCCTGTGGTTTTCATGGAGCATCATTTGCTTCACCTTAGCAGCTTGTGGATGTGTCAGGGGAGGGAATTCAGCCCCAAGGAAGCCCCGAGGTTTTGGTGATTTAAACACCAAAAAGAAGCCACGCTTGGGGTGGCACTGAGGAGCCTGGCAGGAGCACTCAGCTCTCTGCTCCCTTCTTCCTGCAACTTAGCACTTTTATTGCTAGAATTGCTCCTAGTTGGAGCTTTTAAATATTAAATATGTGCTGGGTAGCAGCAGGGAGCTGTTGGCCTGAGCAGGGACATGTTGGGACCTGCTGGGACATGGGGACAGGGCAGAGCAGGGGCTCACCCAGGTGTCTCAGCTCCCCTGGCTCACCTGGGCACAGCTTTGGATCATCTCCATCCAAATACTTTTTGCCCCAGTCACATTTTCCTCTTCCCAAGGTGGGTAATTCCTCCAGCCTGGCATTGCACGAGTTTTTTAAACCTCTTTATAAACATCTGCCCCCTCTTAACCTAAAGCAGGCACACAGGCACCTCCAGCACTGCAGCACAGCTCCTAAACTAATTCAACAGGGCACCCTTAAAAAAAAAAAAGTAATTAAAAATAAATCAACAACTGGAGCTGAAATTTGCTGCTAGTCCAGGCTTTGCTGGGCTTGCACCGGGCTGACCGTGCCACGGCTTTGCTGGCTGTGCCCTTGCCAAGTGCCTGTGCCATGGGAGTGTATGAGTGGGGAGAAGCTGAGGTGGTGCTGATGAGGCAAAATGCACATTGCACAACCCACAGGAGCTGCTGGCAGGTTAATCCTACACCAGCAACAACCTGCCACCTACCTAGGGCTGCAAAAAAAACCAACAACAAGGAATACTGCAGCTTTACAGCTGCTCCGCTGAGACTTCTGGCTGGGGAAAACATGAGTGTTTCACATAAAACTGTGGTATTTGGACTAGGTGCAGGGCCTTTGGTCAAAGTCCATAGGGTGCATGCTCAGCCAGCATCACGTGGGATGTGCTGCTCATAATCTCAGCTTCCCTTTGCAGCTGGAGCACTGAAAATTGTATTTGAAACAAGAGGCTGAGCTTTAGGTGTGAGATCAACAGGCAGCAATACTTAGTTTAAATATCATTTCAATGTATTTATGAATCAGTGCTCTCATGGGTACTGCTCCCCCTTCCCTTTTCCTATTTCAAAGGAGAAATTTGCATATTTGCAGGTGTCTTCTCCCATGTGGGCTTTGCCAGGGAATAATTCCCCCCGTTGCAAGGAATATGGGAGACTCTTAAATACATCTGCTGTCACCAGAGTCCAGATTTACAGCCTCAAACTGTGCTTGGCCTGAAATGAATATGGACTTCCTCTTTTTTTCTCCCCTGCTCCTCTTCCCAAATAATATCCTATTAGTCATGACAGCCAAACGGGCTGGATTTTGGGCAAGGATTCAACTTCTGAGTTCCCATCAACATCAAGCCCTCCTGGCCAGAACAACCCCATCTCTGAAGGTGAGGAACACGCTGCAGGAACCTGCTGTGCTCAGGAAAAGCTGATTTGCTATGGGTGTGTTGTATGGATGTGCTACATCCAACAAAATAATACCAGTCTGCAGTCTGAAAGGGGGAATGAATGAGCACAGGGTGAAATGCAGGGGTGCCTTTGACTTCAGGTGAGTTTTGTATTTGGGTGGACCCTCAGGGAGCCCATCAGGGACAGGTAAGGTGGCTCAGAACATTGAGCACAATGCTGGAGGCATCTGCTCATTCCTGCTGCAGAAAGGGCCAGAGGAAAAGTGTTGTTTCTGAATTCCAGGGGGAGTTTTAACCTTTTTACAGACTGTGCAGGAAGCAGATCCCTCCCCCCATTTTTTGGCATAGCACAGGTAGGGTCTCCCTGAACCAGGTGGGATTCCTTGCAGGGAGTAAGAACAACTCTGCTGCTCACATGTTCCCCTGACAGGCTGCAACAAAAAAATTAGTCTCAGGCAACTCTGAAAAGGATTCAAAAGGATTCTCAGAACAACTCTGGAAAGGATTCAAAGCAGTGAGAGGGCTCAGCAGCTGGCTGGGGCTCTGGGCTGTACTTTCCAGAGCTGCCGAGGAACCTCCTGTGCAACACATGAAAGCTGATCCCAAAACTCAGATTATCCCAAAGAACCCCATCCCAAAACTCTCAGATTATCCCAAAGAACCCAAAACCAAAACTCTCAGATTATCCCAAAGAACCCCATCCCAAAACTCAGATTAGCCCAAAGAACCCAATCCCAAAACTCAGATTATCCCAAAAAACAACACCTCTGCTGCAAACCCCGGAGCTGAAACCCCTTCCTGAGCAAAAGCTGGGCCCGAACAGCTGAGCCTGGAAAAGTTATCTGTGCCAGGAATGCAGGCACTGGTGCTGCAGAGAGCGAGGAGGACGGCAAAGGGAGTCAAGAATGATGCCATTCATTGAGATCATGTTTTGTGGGCTGGCTACTTCCATCCTCCCTTTTTCCTGGTACTGGAGGACACAGAAAGCCGTGCTGGGGGACACTCAGCCCCCCTGCAGGTCCCTGCCTGTCACCTCCCCTGCACGCTCAGCCTTTGCCCTCTCCCCCCCCAGGATTTTTGGGGACTCCCCCTGTCACCCCAAGGGCTCTCCAGGCAGTGGCAGAGTGCTCTGGGTATCACCGGGCTCAATTCTGCATTATCAAACTTCCTTGGCTCTTTGCATCGGAAACTTTTACAATTCCCTGCTCGGCTGGAAAAGATGACTGCAGCAAACCCAAATGAGGAATAAATTATACAACAACTTTACATTTTTCTTTTACAAAGGAAAACTGTGTGGCAAGAGCTGCGCAGGCACCTCCTTCCCAACATCCTCCCCTTGCAAGGATCACTGTGGAAGGCTTAGTTTGAATAAATAAATAAATAAACAAACACAACACCAGCTCCAAACCCACTTTGGGACCTGCTCCTGCCGGGCCACGCGCTGCCTCTCACCCCCAAAATCCCAAATACGTGCAAGAGCTGCAGGATGCAGGGAGAGCCAAGCTGCAACTTCCAATCCAAGCACTTCCAAAAGCTCTAAAAGCTGCATCTGTGTGGCTGCTCGCTGACACACTGGCATGGATTTTCACAATGAATGGCCACAGCTACTCCTCCTTAAAGCTCTCCCCGCCTGCTCTTGCAGGGGCTGTTGCATTCCCGCAGCATTTTTGCAATATTAAATTCTCCACCTCCTCCCCGCCCTTGCAAGGGCACAAGGCAGAGCCACTCTGGAATAAGCAGGGAGTTAAAAAGCAAAGAGGCAGCACTCTTTGCCACCACCAGCACGCTGGCAGAAATAAATCACTGCTGTCCCCTGCCCAAACACCCTCTCGCAGCTCCTCAGCACTCAGCTCCTGCCCTTTTGCAGCTCCTAAATCCTCAACTCCTGCAGCTCCTAAATCCTCAACTCCTGCAGCTCCTAAATGCATCATTCCTGCCCTTTTGCAGCTCCTCAGTGCTCAGCTTTTGCAGCTCCAAAATGCATAATTCCTGTGCTTTTGTAACTCTAAGTGCTTAACTTCTGCAGCTCCAAAATGCATAATTCCTGTGCTTTTGTAACTCCAAAATGCTCAAGTTCTGCAGCTCCAAAATACTCAACTCCTGTACTTTTGCAGCTCCTAAATGCTCAACTCCTGCAGCTCTAAAATGCATCATTCCTTGCCCTTTTGCAGCTCCTACATGCTCAACTTTTGCAGCTCCAAAATGCATAATTCCTGCTCTTTTGCAGCTCCTAAATGCTCAACTCCTGCAGCTCCAAAATTCTCACCTCCTGCAGCTACACAAAGCCCAATTCCTGCCCTTCTGCAGCTCCTAAAAGCTCCAGTCCTGCTGCTCTTAAAGGCTTTATTCCTGCCTTTCTGCAGCTCCACAGTGCATCATTCCTGCCCTTTTGCAACTCCTGAACTCTCAACTTCTGCAGCTCCAAAATCCTCAATTCCTGCAGCTCTCAAATGTCCAATTCCTGCCCTTTTGCAACTCCTAAATTCTCAACTCCTGCAGCTCCAAAATGCACAATTCCTGCAGCTCCAAAATGCATCATTCCTGCCCTTTTGCAACTCCTAAATTCTCAACTCCTGTAGCTCCAAAATGCACAATTCCTGCAGCTCCAAAATGCACAATTCCTGCCCTTTTTCAACTCTTAAATTCTCAACTCCTGCCCTTCTGCAGCTCCTAAACTCTCCGTTCCTGCAGCTCCAAAATGCTCCCGTTCTTGCAGTTCCAAAACGCTCCATTCCTGCCTTTCTGCAGCTCCCAAATACCCAATTTCTGCACTTCCCAAACGCTCCATTCCAGCCTTTTTGCACGCTCGGGGCGTGCTGGTGTGACAAACCCCACTGCTGCCTCTGACCAAAAGTTACCAAATATTAGAAGAGAAAGGGGGGTGGGGGGGGCAGAGAAACGGGTGGAAAATGATCTCAGCGCTGGCAAGAGAACAATACTTTCCCATGGAAACATAGGTATATATTTAATTCCTGCTAACTCCACTCCAGTTTCACCTTTCATCTCCCTCGCGGACTTGTTTAAAAGTTTTGCTTTAACCCCGCGCCGCTCCCGGGCTGCAGCTGCTCCTCCAGCACCCCCCCGTCGCTCCCGGCCGTGCCAAAGGCAGGCGAGGGGCTCGCTCATCCCGGGAGAGGCGGCGAGCACCGCCAGCCAGCAGGAAACGCGCCGGGAGCGGCGGCGGGAGCGGCGGCGGGAGCGGCACCGGGAGCGGCACCGGGAGCGGCGACCCCCGCGCCAGGCGGGCGTGCGACCGCGCCGTGCACCCGCACCCGTGCACGCACATGCACCCGCACCCGTGCACGCACATGTACCCGCACCCGTGCACGCTCCTGCACATGCACCCGCAGCCGTGCACGCGCCCGCAAGTTGCACAAGCGAGTGCGCGCGCGCCCGCCCGTGCACGCGCGCACCCGTGCATGCATGCATGCGCGCGTGCACGCGCAGCCCCTCGCACGCGCGCCCGCGTGCCGCGCTCTCACCTCGGGGCTGAGACATTGTCCCCCGGCGGGCTGCGGGCCGGGCGCGCGCACCGAGGGCCGAGCCGCCCGCCCGCCGCACGCGCGCGCGCACACACACACACACGAAAGATGCGAGCCGCGCGCTCCCCCCGGAACGCCGCGCGCGCTCCCGCCTGGGCGGCTCGGGGAGCGCCGGGCCGGGCCGAGCCGGGCCGGGCCGAGCCGGGGCGGGGGGGGGGGGTCCCTGCGCGGCTGGCGCGGGGCCGGCGCGGCTGCACCTACATGATGGGCCGGGGCGGCCGCCCCGGCCTGCGGCGCGCACGGGGGGCAGCGCACTGCGCGCGCGCGGCGCCGCCGCGGGGCCGCATGGGAGCTGTAGTCCCGCGGCTGCGCACGCCCCCGGCACCGCGCCCGGCCGCCGGCAGGGGGCGCGGCGAGCGCGGCCGGGTGCGCCCGCTCGGAACCTATTCGAGTCTCTTCGAACCGATTCGAGTCGTTTAGAACAGATTCGAGTCGTTTTGAACAGATTCGAGTCGCTTCGAACAGATTCGAGTAGCTTCAAACCGACTCGAGTCGCTTCGAACCTATTCGAGTCTCTTCGAACCGATTCGAGTCGTTTAGAACAGATTCGAGTCGTTTAGAACAGATTCGAGTCGCTTCGAACAGATTCGAGTCGTTTTGAACAGATTCGAGTCGCTTCGAACAGATTCGAGTAGCTTCAAACCGACTCGAGTCGTTTCGAACCGATTCGAGTCGCTTTGAACAGATTCGAGTGGCTTCGAACCGATTCGAGTCGTTTCGAACCGATTCGAGTCACTTCAAACAGATTCGAGTCGTTTCAAACTGATTCGAGTAGCTTCAAACCAATTCGAGTCTCGTCGAACCGATTCGAGTCACTTCGAACTGCTTCAAGTCACTTTGAACCACTTCAAATTGCTTTGAACCGCTTCAAGTCACTTTGAATCACTTCAAACTACTTCAAATCACTTGAAACCACTTCAAGTCGCTTCAAACTGCTTGAAACCGCTTCAAGCTGCTTCAAGTCGCTTCAAACCACTTCAAGTCACTTTGAACCACTTCAAATCACTTTGAACTGCTTCAAGTTGCTTTGAACAACTTCAAGTCGCTTCAAGTCAGTTCAAACTGCTTCAAGTCACTCCATACCACTTGAAACCACTTCAAGTCACTTTAAACCACTTAAAACTGCTTCAAACTGCTTAAAACTGCTTGAAGTTACTTCAAACTATTTCAAGTCGCTTCAAACCACTTCAAATCACCTCAAACTGCTCTAAAATTGCTTCAAATCTCTTCAAACCACTTCAGATCACTTAAAATCGCTTTAGGCCGCTTCAAACCGTTTCAAACTGCTTAAAGTCTCTTCAAATCCCTTCAAGTCGCTTCAGATTGCTTCAAGCTGCTGCAAATAGCTTCAAATCACTTCAGACTGTTTCAACTGCATGAAACGTCTTCAAATTGCATCCATTATTGCATCCATCCCTGCACCCTGTGTCCCTGCCCGCATCCCCCTTTGGGAAAAAGCCCCTAAGGAAAGGCAAAATTAGAAAGGTAAAATTCCCTTCCCGCAGCAGTGTTTACAATTATTTATGTGTTTCCTTCTAAGAAAACACCGGTAGAAATGAAATAAAATGCAATAAAAATAGCTGAGTGCAACAAATGTGGATTTCAAAACCAATGACAGTTGAATTAGTATTTTATATCCTGGCGAAATATTGATGCCAAAGGTGTAAAACCCAGCGCAAAGGTTGCATGGAGGGCACAGGTGGGAGTGAAAGCACTGCTGCCACTCCTTCCTTGGGCTGGCAAATGTGCATTAGAGCTGATTTTGGTGCCGTGCCTCCTTTTCCCAGTGTGCAAAACGCCAGTCGCTTGGTTTTTAAAATTTGAAAAGTTGGATAGTAATATAATGGTTATAAAAATAATAATACAATTAGAGTAAAAAAGTGTAGAGTTAGGACAATTACAAGAGAATAAAAAGCAAAGAATTACGGACATCGGGATGCTCTCGGACACTGAGTCATGAAAAGCATCCCTTGTGAACAAAGGAATAACCTTAAAAGCAACAGCCTGTTGCATATTCATATATCACATACATGATATATAAATTCCTTGCAAATTAAGAATTTTTCTGGGTTTTGTCAACTTCTCCTTAATCCTGTTGGTTCCTCAAAGACGGAGAGAAGGTGGAAGAATGTTTGTCTTTTCTGATAAGGAGGTGTAACTTTTTATGGGCCCCCTTTGCTGCCATCTCTGTGTGAAGTCTCTTGATTATTTCATCTCTTGCTTGAGCTTGTAACAAATCCTACATCACAGAGTTTCTATTTTAACATTATATTGCAACCTAAAACTACATTTAGCACACTACGTAAGAGAATTAATACAGCTTCACTTTCTAACACTACATATATAATATTCATTGTAACATTTGCAAAAAGCCAATCATAAAATCTGCATTTCTCACACCAGCCAGCCCCAGGCACTGAACTTGCACTTACCTGGCCCTGCAAGGGCCGAAGTCTGGAGGAGCTGCAAGGCTCAGCTGGGGCTCTGTGTGTCATTGCTGCTCTTCTGAGGGACTCAGGGCTGAGGGAAATGCTCTGCTGCTCGTGGGCCTTCCTGCCAAACACTCAGCTCCAGCAAATCCTTACAGCCGGGAATAAAGCCCCAAAATTTAGGTTTGCCATGGGAATGCTGCCAGACCCTTCACTCCCACGTTACAAAGGCAGCACTGGGAGCAGGGCTGTGCTGGGACCCAGAGACCCTTCCCATGAAGTGGTGCTGCAAGGCTGCAGCTTTTAATTGGCTTTTAATTGGCTTTTAATTGGCTTTTCATGTTTCTAAGGAACTTCTGTTGGTCAAACCTGCATCTTGGATCCATCCCTGCATTCCTGTGCTCCTGCCTGCATCCCTGCATCCATCCCTGCATCCATCTCTGCATCCCTGTGCCCCTGCCTCCATCCCTGCATCCATCCCTGCATCCCTGTGCAGCTCAGGGATGCTCCTTTGGGTTTCCATGAAGATTTCAGATGATTTTTGGAAAATCAGCCACTGGGCCATACCTAAACTCAGCTGTTTTCATGGAGTTGTGGTGGATGAGTAATGCCATGGTTTGCTCTCACAATTAAAAGGCAAATATCATATATAGATGTTAAGAGAAGTTTTAGAGACTCATAGTTATGATTTTATCATGGGGTGGCCTGGGTTTGGGACATTTGGGAGGGTTGGCTCATTACTCACTTCCAAAAATTGAAAAGGTTTATTCAAACCGTATCAAAAATACATCAGAAGACTGAAGAAAGAAAACATTACAGTGCCGGGAGCAGAGGATTGTTGCCCTGATTTTTAAAATGTTACATTTTCTTTTATAGTTCTTTTGAAAGTTTTAAAGTTTTTTTTTTAAAGTTTTCTATGCCTTCTGATATTTACGTATTTCTACTGGAGTTCTCACGCCATGTTCATGTAAATAATGATTGTTTTGCATTCTTCTTTGTGGGAAGAGAGAATTAATGGACTGTTGGTTTGACAGTGTGGTTGGAGAGGTGGCAGTTTCACCCTCCAATCACATGTCCAATCCACTTTTGGAATTCTATATATTGAGAGGTCAGAAATAAAATTAGCTTTTTTTCTCTTTTGAACTTACCAAGATTCTGTGTGCTCATTTCGTGTCCAGTAGCAACAGAGGATTTTCCCCACCATGTGCTCACCCACACAATGGAGGTTTCACCTTTTAACCCTTTAGTCCCTCCCAAAATTCTGTCCTTTGACTCCTCCTTCGCTGTCCAGCACTGGAGATCACTTTGACTGGAGGTCAGCTGTTGCCATAGTAACAAGCTGATCCTCCCAAATGTCCCCAAACCCAGGTCACCCCATAATAACACCACAAGGGCTGTAAAACATAACTATAAATCTATAAAACTGAACATATATACATGACATTTGCCTTTTAATTGTGAGAGTCAAGCATGGCATTCCTCGTCTGTCACACCAGGCTGCTCCAAGCCTGTCCAGCCTGGCCTTGGACATTTCCAGGGATGGGGCAGCCACAGCTGCTCTGGCTCTCCATCCTCACTGTAAAAAAAAAAAAAAAAAAATTCTTCCTTAGATGCAAATCAAGAGGTACCAAAACACTCATTACCTTTATTGTTCCTGTTTGCTCCAGCACCGTGCCCTTCACCATCCAGTTTCCTCTTTACAGAGCCTGTTCTGATTAAAATCTGAATTCTGCACACAGTGTGAGTTTGTCCAGGTGGGATCTACCCTCCTCCTGTCTGCTGAGCAGCTCAGGATGTCATTCATCTCTGCTGGGAAGGGAAAAGGGAAAGGGAAAGGGAAAGGGAAAGGGAAAAGGGAAAAGGGAAAAGGGAAAAGGGAAAAGGGAAAAGGGAAAAGGGAAAGGGAAAGGGAAAGGGAAAGGGGAAGGGGAAGGGGAAGGGGGAAGGGGGAAGGGGAAGGGGAAGGGGGAAGGGGGAAGGGGAAGGGGGAAGGGGAAGGAGGGGGAGGGGAAGGGGAGGGGGGGGAGAAGGGGGGGAAAGGGAAGGGAAGGGAAGGGAAGGGAAGGGAAGGGGAAGGGAAGGGAAGGAAGGGAAGGGAAGGGAAGGAAGGGAAGGGAAGGAAGGGAAGGGAAGGGAAGGGAAGGGAAGGGAAGGGAAGGAAGGGAAGGGAAGGAAGGGAAGGGAAGGGAAGGGAAGGGAAGGGAAGGGAAGGGAAGGAAGGGAAGGGAAGGGAGGGAAGGGAAGGGAAGGGAAGGGAAGGAAGGGAAGGGAAGGGAAGGAAGGGAAGGGAAGGAAGGGAAGGGAAGGGAAGGGAAGGAAGGGAAGGGAAGGGAAGGGAAGGGAAGGGAAGGGAAGGAAGGGAAGGGAAGGGAAGGGAAGGGAAGGGAAGGGAAGGGAAGGGAAGGGAAGGGAAGGGAAGGGAAGGGAAGGGAAGGGAAGGGAAGGGAAGGGAAGGGAAGGGAAGGGAAGGGAAGGGAAGGGAAGGGAAGGGAAGGGAAGGAGTAATTGCACAGCTGACTGAAGTGACTGAAGAATTCAAACTTCTACACAGGTCTGGCCATAACTTTCTTCCTTAGGACTCCCTGCCCACTGTAGTTTGAATTTTCTAAGAGTTCTGATTTATTTATTCCCCCTCCCAACTCACTCTTTCATTGCTAAGGAACAAATCTGTGGCTGATAAACTGGA